TCTCTGCAAAAGGTGTTCAGCTCCTTTTCTTCGCAAAACAGAAAGGAGAATTCTACTGCCTGAGGGTTACAATCCCTAAGTGCGGCCCGTAGGCCGCCTACGCAGAAAGGTGTTCTCTGCAAAAGGCGTTCAGCTCCTTTTCATCGCAAAACACAAAGGAGAATTCTACTGCCTGATGGTTATAATCCCTAAGTGCGGCCGAAGGCCGCCTACGCAGAAAGGTGTCATCTGCAAAATGTGTTCAGCCTTCTTCGGCAAGACAGAAATAATAATTCTACTAAGTGAAAATTCCGAACTTCGCTTTTATTATTAAAAATTCCAGTCTGGTAGCACCAAGTTGTATGTTATTTTGCTATCTTATTCATCGTTTATATGAAAACTTTAACAATAAATTATATAAGAACTATAGGGTTGCTAGAAAAAAGGAGGTATTTTTGAAATCAGGCGGTCCTATTCTACCCCCCCTCATTCCCCCTTTTTCTAGAATTTGCCGTCCGTCTACTAAAATATTCCCCCTAGTAAAGTTACAAAATCAAAAGCAGAGTTAAACATTGGTCGCGTTCATAAGACGTAGCTGTTTAGCTCATCTGCTACGAAACTGCTGGCAACTGTTGAACCCAACAATTACGTCTTAGAAACGGCTTGATGAATATGCTGCCAAATGAACAGCTGATAAATGAAATTGCAACAAATAGAGATAGTTGCGCCGATACTATTTAGAATTCAACACTGAGCGGCCGCCGTGTTGAAAAAATCGTTCAATGTTACAATGAATTAAACAGTGTAAAATTATATAGCAAACCTCTTAAAAACATATATTCAGAAATGCATTATTATTATAAAATATTTTTGTTACTTTATCACGTCAGTAATAATAAATCAGCTGTTTAGGCTAAGCCCAACACGTTGAGTTCAGGTAGCCTAAAAATGTTCCGGTGGAAAAAATGGCGGGAAGTTGCCAACTGTTGGGCTGAGCGTAACTACTCATGGTGCGTTTCTAAGACAAATAGCCAACTGTTGGGCAACAGCTACGTCTTATAAACGCGCCCATTGATATGACGAGTAGGGACACGATATCGAGCCGAAAGTATCGATATGGTACTCATTTAAAGTATCGCTTTAAAAATATCGGGTACCCATTAATATCGGAATAAAAACACTCGAAATTCCAAATATCGATACCAAAAACCAAAAAATTTATCTGAATATAGGTCTCGCATATAGGCCGCTGGGGTGTAGTGATTAGAAGTGCCCAAACCTTTACAATGAAAAACAGCTTCCCATAAAGTACAATCGCCATTCAGAGTCGACATAACACTGTAGGCACCCCCTTTGTTTGTGCACTGAAATAAACAGACTTGTTTTGAATCAAGCAGGGACCGCAAATAACGATTATCCTTTGAAATTTCAACTCAAAAAATCACGCGGAAAGAGAAATGCTAGGTGCATAAGGAGTAAACCAATATATTTCTTATTACTCGGAGCACCTTCAGCGGCACTGATTTTAATTTTTTAAATTTTACTTATAAAAATCAAGTTTAATCATTATATTTTGAGTTTTATTTTTTACTCAGGAAATAGTCGTTATGTTTTGAGTCATATTTTTTGCTCGGAAAATAATCGTTACGTTTTAAGTTTTATTTTTTGCTCGGAAAACAATGGTTACGTTTTAAGTTTTATTTTTTTGCTCGGAAAATAATCGTTACGTTTTAAGTTTTATTTTTTGCTCGGAAAATAATGATTACGTATTAAGTTTTATTTTTTGCTCGGAAAATAATCGTTATTTCTTGAGTTTTATTTTTTGCTCAGAAAATAAAACTTAATTTTTGCGTATGCGTATGCGCGTGCGTGAATAGGCAGGGGGCGGCTGCATTGAACCTTTAACGCCACTGTGGAGTGGGTAATGAAAATACAGATACCAGGGCAGAAACAAAGAGAACCACATTTCTAAAGAAAAAGTGCAAAAAAGCGCATACGCATACGCAAAAATTAAGTTTTATTTTCTGGGCAACAAATAAAACTCAAGAAATAACGATTATTTTCCGAGCAAAAAATAAAACTTAAAACGTACCGGTTATTTTCCGAGTAAAAAATAAAACTTAAAACCTAACCATTATTTTCCAAGCAAAAAATAAAACATAAAACGTAACCATTATTTTCCGAGCAAAAAATTAAACTTAAAACGTAACCATCATTTTCCGACCAAAAATTAAAACTTAAAACGTAACGATTATTTTCCGAGCAAAAAATAAAACTTAGAACGTAACGATTATTTTCCGAGCAAAAAATAAAACTCAGTTAATAACGATTAAAAAGTGATTTTTATAATAAAACTTATAACCGTTACCGTCCCTGGAATCAAGAATCGGCGGCATTGCCTCGTTTTTTCTAACTTGTCTCATCAATCAAAATAGGCCTTGAGGCCATCATCCTTTTAGCGTGGCTCGCTTAAAAGCCAAAAGTTAAAGATACTTAAAAATAATATAAAAAAATAAACATAAAATGGCGATCCTGCCAAATTGGCACTACAATAACTCTAATAAAAACAAATAAATTTAAATAAAAATTATATTCATGACGGAGCAATATTCAAAAGAAGATCTGGACAACCTGTTTGAACAGCTGAACTACCCAAGATCCTACGAAGAAGAAAATATAGATGATGAATATGTCCCTGAAGCACTGACGA